ACCACTGGGGGGGGGGGGGGGGGGGGGGGGGGCACCACTTATTCAGGCTACTACAAATGATCTGGGTGCCCAGACCACTTGGACAAGATGAGAATCCCCTGCTGAAAATGATACCAAGATCATGATTGCAGCAGCCGCCATGATCTTGGTAGATCACACAGTCTCCATCATATTTAGCCTGCCTGTCAGCACTTTTTAAAAATATTTCTTGCCTTCCCTGGGTGAGTTCACACTATTGCATTGCATTAGCATACAGCAGCATACGTTATCGGGTCTATTTATAAACAATTCGCAGAACCATTTGCCTTTTGTGAGAAAGTTCATTCAGTTTGAATTGATTATCCCAAAGTGCCATTTTCAGCTGCTATGTTTTTGCGGCCGAAGTTTCGGTGCATCCCTACTATGTTAGGTAGTGAGTACGGTTCATATCTGTACTGTTTGCTCTCATGGTAGGATATAAAGGAGAAGCCAGGTAGTACATTTTAAGTACAGTTCATATCTGGCTATGAAGGCAACCAATGCAGATATACAGATGGTGTTCTAAACCAAATATACAAAATGAAAGATTCCAAACAAGGCAGCTGGCTGTCCTAAATAAACTGAAAGTTCCCAGCCATCTGGGAGGACAATTATGTTGCACTGTTAAATTCTGTGTGTTTGTTAGTAAACATTTGCTTCAGGTCTGTGACTCCATAGACAATTTAAAGGAGAACTGAGGCGAGTGATTTTCACTCAACCTCATATTTTTCGAGCCGATGTGTGACAATAAAAACTGTCACACGTTGTCTCAATAGTTTTTTGAAGTGAGCGCATACATACCATTGCTCGCTCACTTCTCCATCCTGTCCCTGCAGAGACCCATGACTGTCACTCACGGCTCCCTGCAGGGATTCCCCCCTCTCCGATCCCCCAGCGCTGACTGGCAGAATGGATGGGGGAGGGGCGGGTACAGCTGGCTCTGCCTCTAGATAGGCAGAACCAGCTGTCAATCACGCAGCTGGGTGGATCTCGACGGTTATGTCGAGATGCGTCCCGGCTGCGACGGTTTAGGTATACGGCAAGCTGTAGTTCACGGTATACTGAGCTTTGGGTCACGGGAGGATGCAAGTTTGTCCTCCCGTTACCCTTAAGAGAACTATGGGGAAAATCACTTACCCCATAGTTCTCCTTTAACATTCCTGGAGCCTGCACCTTTTAAAAGCCCTTCCAGCAGTGGCAGGTCCCATATTTTTATGATGACAAAAGGTTCCCCTTCAGCAGTGCAGTAACCCATAGCAACCTCTTAAGCTGGCCATACGCTGGTAGATTTTGGTTCAAAAGTTCATATCACAAATCTTGTCAGAACATCTGATAATTCCATCAGACCCTTGACCTATGCCTTTCCAAATTTTGTTTGGTTTTATTCAGTTTTCAAATGAATGGAGATTTCCAAACGAAACCCACTTCCTGCTAGAATTTAATTTCTTCCATCCTGCTCCCATATTTTCTTTTTTGTTGTCGAAATCAATCGTTCATTTGACCCCATTGACTCAATGAAAGTTCAAACAACTCATTTCTAACTAAATTCTACTGGTGTAAGGCCAAGTTTTAGAGTTAATCAGTGTGACATTTGAAGAAGTGTGTTATCAAAGGGTTATGGCACTTTAGTTTTGGTCTTTACACTATTTCCTACAACCATTAGTTGCTTCCAGTGGATACATAAGAAAGCCGTTGAGAAAGTGATGTGTTGTATGGAGTGTGGCTTGTTTACTTGTTGATTAAACAACTCCTGACCTCAGAACCTAAAAGTAGGATGTGAGTGCTGCTGATTTTTGTGTTGGTTTGTTTAGTCATTCACAAGACACTGCCTTTCGCTCCGGCAGTGTTCATTCTGATCAGCAGGGGATCCTTAGAGCAGATCATTCTTGGGGCATGTGGATGTAAACAGATGTGTGTCCCTTTACATCCTTTTATCTCTCATGTCTCTATCCATTACAGAAAAAAAACCTCAATCTTTATTTAAATTTTTATAAAAACATACAATATAGATCATAAGAAAAATTGTTTACAGATCCTTATCTTGGCACATAAAGAAAGGAAAGAAAAAAGGGACATGAAAGCCCTACCAGATATAAATATAGACTAAGTAAAGTACGCAACCCAAAATGGAGAGAAAAAAGGGGGTGTGTTATCTCTTTCTTCCCAAGATCAGTATTGAATCTCGTCTCATTACAAGATATTCAGCTGAATTTATAAACTCCCTCCAATGAGAAGGTTTTCCAGAAGCTATCGGAACTTAAGTGTTCTTAATGGAGCTCGTAAGGTTTACCATAAGGTAAATTTCCTGAATGCGATCTAACCAATGATGTATATTCGGTGGTTCAGGTCTCTTCCACAAGTCTGGGATACAAGTGCATGCAGCATTAACCAGATGTCTCACTTTGCCCATAGACTTAAGTTAAGGTTCGGACGACCAAAACTGACCTGTGGATATGATTGGAAAAGGAGCCAAAAGGTAGCACAAGGGGCGAAGGGTTTAGGGTCTGGAACTCGGTGCCACATGCAGTGATTTCCGCTAAGAGTCTGGAATCATTCAAGAAGCTTTTGGACGATTTCCTTAGTGACCATAACATACAGGGGTACAGGTACTCTTAAGAACAAGATCACACATGGACTCACACACGCACACACCAGCAGAACCATATACATACACGCAATAGGTTGGACTTGTGTCTTTATTAAACCTCAAATACTATGTATCTATGTAATGCTAATGAATACCTTTTTAATATTGTGAAGATTAGTATACACATGGCCCCCAGAATGATCAACAGTTGGCTCAGGTGCTGGCAAGTAAACTGTTCTGTACACTGTATGACCTGAGCTTGGCTACGAAGAAAAATAAAGAATGTTTAAGTAGAAGTTGAATTGATTCATATTGCCTGTTCACTGCTAGTATAGTATATTATCTGTGGACACTGTGTGATTGATTGTATATTTTTGTCCTCCTTTTATAGCACCTGTTCGTCAGATGTCAGCCAGCAGTGTGCCAGGCTCCTCTGGTGAAGCTCTGCCTTATTACCTGCTTGTTGGTGTAACTATGCTTGGTGGAGTAGTATATGTAAGTATTTCTACTTTTGCCAGTTTGGCTTCTCAGAGAAATGATGGCCAAGTATAATTTTCATCTCTTAGCAAAACTCGCTACTCAAAGAAGATCTTCTCTAGTTTGTTCTGTTAATGTTCTTGTTGGAGGTAGAGGCCTCTTGTGTATATTATGTCCACTTTTGTATGGTAATATTGTAACCATGATGGGTAGAACATTTTTAGTTCAGTTGCTCCCAAGTTGTGTACAAGTAGGAAAATGCTATGCTCTTGCTGATCTTGTTTCTTTTGTAGGCGTACCGCACTGTGTGCAATGATAGAGCCCGCTCTCGTGAACGCCATGAATACGTTGAAACACAACTGAAACCCCAGTTACAGAATCTTAAAGGTGAGCGCAAACTCTTGTTAAAGTTATGTAAGGGGCAAAATGTTTGAGTAGAGTATGTAAGGATTGGAACTTCTCAATTTTTTGTTTGTAGAGTCTGGAATCATTCAAGAAGCTTTTGGACGATTTCCTTAGTGACCATAACATACAGGGGTACAGGTACTCTTAAGAACAAGATCACACATGGACTCACACACGCACACACCAGCAGAACCATATACATACACGCAATAGGTTGGACTTGTGTCTTTATTAAACCTCAAATACTATGTATCTATGTAATGCTAATGAATACCTTTTTAATATTGTGAAGATTAGTATACACATGGCCCCCAGAATGATCAACAGTTGGCTCAGGTGCTGGCAAGTAAACTGTTCTGTACACTGTATGACCTGAGCTTGGCTACGAAGAAAAATAAAGAATGTTTAAGTAGAAGTTGAATTGATTCATATTGCCTGTTCACTGCTAGTATAGTATATTATCTGTGGACACTGTGTGATTGATTGTATATTTTTGTCCTCCTTTTATAGCACCTGTTCGTCAGATGTCAGCCAGCAGTGTGCCAGGCTCCTCTGGTGAAGCTCTGCCTTATTACCTGCTTGTTGGTGTAACTATGCTTGGTGGAGTAGTATATGTAAGTATTTCTACTTTTGCCAGTTTGGCTTCTCAGAGAAATGATGGCCAAGTATAATTTTCATCTCTTAGCAAAACTCGCTACTCAAAGAAGATCTTCTCTAGTTTGTTCTGTTAATGTTCTTGTTGGAGGTAGAGGCCTCTTGTGTATATTATGTCCACTTTTGTATGGTAATATTGTAACCATGATGGGTAGAACATTTTTAGTTCAGTTGCTCCCAAGTTGTGTACAAGTAGGAAAATGCTATGCTCTTGCTGATCTTGTTTCTTTTGTAGGCGTACCGCACTGTGTGCAATGATAGAGCCCGCTCTCGTGAACGCCATGAATACGTTGAAACACAACTGAAACCCCAGTTACAGAATCTTAAAGGTGAGCGCAAACTCTTGTTAAAGTTATGTAAGGGGCAAAATGTTTGAGTAGAGTATGTAAGGATTGGAACTTCTCAATTTTTTGTTTGTATCCCCACTGGGGAGATTCACCTCTTAATTTGTCAATAGAGAAAGTGAATCAAACCATTGTAAGTTGTTGTCCATGCAAGTGTTGAGTTAAAAATCCTCCAAATGGGGACACCTGTCCTGTGACAACGCGCTAAGATGGGAATTTACGTTCACTTTGGAGAGATTTCCTCTGCGTCTCCTGGGCAGGAAGTAAAGGGAAATCACTCAGCTGCAGATCCTTAAATCATCTCTGAATTCATGCTGACTGTCATTCCTCTGGAGGGTGGCTACTTTTGTTCCCCATGGTTCATGTGTGTGTTGTTCCAAGCTCCCTCCCATAATGGACTGCAATCTCACGGTTAGTTTACTAATTTGTTGGGATGCACTAGTATAGGTGACAATACTGAGTAATTGGCTGAGTACTCGTACTCGCCCAAATGCTCCGATACTTGCCCCCGATACTGGAACTTCCTCTGACCGGCAGTGCCACGAGGGAGCATGGAACAGACTTCTTCATAGTGCAGGCTCTTCTGTGCTATGAGGCAAGTTTCCCCTGACGGCGGGCGGATACAGTATGTTAGCGGCCATCTCAAATTGCTCTGAAATGCACCGCACGATTGGCATCAACCAACGTTAGAGCTCAGTTTTTGAAAAAGCCAAATGACAGCAATGATCATGAACTGTTTTTAATTTTTTTTTTTTTTTTACATTCTAGCAGAACTATAGCTATTCTGGTAGCAAATTAATATACAACATGTTCAATATACTGCACAGAGCACTGTTATTCAGGGGGCACTTCCCATTAGAATCCATTTTGAGTTAAAAGGACAGGGGTAGGCAACCTCGGCACTTCGGCTGTGATGAAACTACAAATCCTGTCATGCTTCTGCGAGTCATGCCTGTGAAAATCTTGCATTGTCTCATGGGGTTTGTACTTCACAGCTGGAATGCAGACTTTTCCTACCCCTGTAACACCGCAAATGTTTTTTTTTTTTTAACTAAATTGATCATGTTTAAGTATGTTTAAGGCCATATCCTGTGAAGCAGCCACGTTTCAGCAGCCTAAGCTATATGAACAGTACAGTACAAGGCATCTTCATGCACTCCTTTCCCTCTCCAAGTATTGTCTAGTGTTCAGTGGCTGCTGCCCCCAGTAAGGGTGAGTGCTGGACAATGGCATGGGGACCTCATAGCTGCAACAAAGCCAATCCTAGGCTTGTTCCAAATCCCCTAAAGATTGCTGCTCTGTATTACAAAGTGCATAAGCTAATTGTGTGATGTGCAGAGAGATTCTGAAGAAAGTTCTGTGCAATGAAGCTGCTCATGAAAGTGATGCTGTCTCTTATGTGTCCTCTGCAAAATCACATGATTTGTTATGCAAGCGAAATGGGGCGGTCTCAGTTCTCTCTGCCCCAGTCATCAGCATTTGCTGCCGTTTATCTCTTTCTAGCTTACCTTGCATGATGGTGAGTTTATTTTTTCAGTAATGAGGGGGCAGTAGGGGGGCAGGGGGTCACTATTCCAAAATTTGCACTGGGACTCGTACATCTTTAGTTAAGATGGTACATCTTTAGTTACTGATGGAGGCGGATGTGAAGGCTGCTTCTGCTCTATACAGGTTGAGCAGCTGGATGGAGACCACTTTGTACTCAAATATTGGCTGCTTATTCTATATATTTGTTTCCAACTAATAAGGTACTCTTACTTTTACATTTACCATGATAGCCAGTATCTTAATGTGATTTTTAATTCTTTGTTTTTTTTCACCCTCTCAATTTGTCCATTTGCCTCCCAGATGACAGTAAGTCAATTTCTTTTTTTAATATTCTTTATAAACTTTCCTACTTTGATAGTACTTGCAAAATATATTTCTCTGCCCTGGTTTATTACTCATACTAATTTAATTGTTAGAGCTTTTTACTGACATCAGTGGCTTTAAGAGCCATTTAGTTCTAGATGTTTATACAGACTGCTGAATACCACCATAGGTGCTTGTGTTGGTGCACACTATATTGGTAGAATGGAAAACCTGGGCCAAGCAGTATATTATGCCAGTCAACCTATTACTGTTTTGAACAAGGTTTTCTTAGTAGTTAAACTATCATGCTCCAGCCATTCGATAATTAAGCCTAAACATTTGCAGATCTAGTATTAAACCATACCGAAGGTAATGGGACTATATTTGCTCAATTTTTGTTATTAAATTCTCAGACCGCAGTACTTATCCTTGTTCACAACAGATTGGGTCCCACTGTGTGTTTTCTGTGACTGTGTATGGAAGAGTTATCTGTGCAAGTTCATTCTGGTTAGCTCTTAAACATTTTTTGTAATATTTAATCTTCCAAAGTGTTTTTTTTCCAGCATGAGCATTACTTTATTTGCATTTTGCTCATGTTTCTTTTTTATTTTTCTCTAATTGTCATTTTTTGCTTCTTACAATTTCCAGAATAAAGTCCAAGGGGATATCTACCTAAACTTGAAGTTATAACAACCAAAAAGGGACAGTCCATCATGCCGTGCAGCCTAACTAGTGATGATTTATAGTCGCACGCCAGTCCTTTTTACATTAAATTTTTTTTTTTTTTAATTAAGAGTTTTCTGTTATTCAGGTAGCCCCCTTTTGCCATACGTGGGGTCAGATCTGGTTCTGATTGTGGTAAAAACATTTGTGGAATTAAACTGATCCATTAAGGCTGATTGCTCTTATTACCTGTGTGTACATGACTGTCCAATAAAGAGACCACTCTGAATGTTGTTTTGACTGACTTCTTCGTTTTTTTCCTTTTTTTTTTTTTTTTACACTTTTGACTGGGATTTCTTGGTAGTGCTTTTCTTAACCTTAGAGAATCCCCCTTTCTTGAGGTGATTAAATTGTCCTAACAAAGTATGGGCTTTGTGTGTTGATGTAACTAACATATGCTCCTTGCTTGCTTCCTTTTTTGCACAAGGCTACTTCTGTTGTAGCGTTGCTTAGTGTGGAGGATATTGTAGATACAGAGCAGCTGCTTCTTGGTTTAGTAGCATCACTTTATTCTTAGATCTGTTGTGATCTAGCGATAAAACTTTTCCGAAAAATGTTCTTCTTTCAAGGTTCAGGGCATTCACTGCATTCTGGTTTTTGGTGCCCAACTCCTGGAAACCTTTACATTATGACATATGTACACAACAGTACATGTTGTTCAGCTCTAATGAAGAAAAAATCACATGATGGAAAAAAAGATAAATGTTTTTATATAAATCCCTTTGGGGGAGTGCAGATTCTGTGAGGTGGTTGCATACAACAGCTGGGAAATGCCCTATAGGCATATTTAACTGCATGTTCTGCCAAATCTGTACAAAGTGAAGGGAGTTCTCCTCTTAGATAATGGGGACAGGAACCAGTGTCCCTCATTGGAAGGTCTACCATCACCTCTTTTGTGGGGCTGCAATGAACAATTATATTCATAATTGATTTAGTTGGGCAATTTTTTTTTCGATTTTTTTTTTTTTTTTTTTTTCCATTGGGTAAAAAAAATGAATTTCCATCTGTTATTTAAAATACTTAATTGGAGTGTTACGAACAAAGTGTGCATCAGAATAAAACTGCGTACACAAATTTTTGCAATTGGTCCACCCTGGAACACACGGCATTGCGGTACTGCACGTTCCGATGTGGGTGATCGCACTGCGGGCGGGAAGCGCTTATGGGGTGCCATTTAAAATGAATGTCACTACAATGCACCTCCTGCAGCAGAAATTGTCATGCCGAAACCAAAAGTTACTTTTTTTTTTTTTTTTTTTTTTATTTAACTTTACGTTTTGGGGCGATATCAGAGGTCTAAACAGACCCCTAATATTTCCCTTTGAAAAAAAAAAAAAAATTTAGAACTCAATTGTCTGCAGCCCCAGCACTCAATGAACAGAAGTGCAGAGGATTCCTGTTCATTCACTTACTATTAACCCAGTTATGAATGGACAGGAAACCTCTGTACTGAGCTGCTTCCTGTTTATTCATAAAGTGAGGAGATCGTAAATGTTTACTATGTTCCCATTAAGAAAAAAAAGTGCTGTAGAGCACTTCCTGTTCATTCATAATGGTGGGCCTAATCTTTTGTCACTTGTTTACAGTACTGATCACTGGGTGTTTGTTCTGCAGTGGTAAGGTTCAGTAAATATTTGAAATCCTGAGCCACTCTGCACCCTCCGTCACCGTAGCTCTCCTCCCGGCTGGGAGTTGGCTGCAGCAGTCTTTCCCCCCTGCTTTGCCAATAAAGGCGGGGAAGAGCAGCATTGATTGGAGGAGACACGGTCCCCAGCGGGCTCCAAGCAGGGAGGAGAGAGCTGCAGAGCCGACTGGGGCAGAGATTTGGGGGGAGCGCTACTCACCACTGGGTAACGGCTGTAGCGGCCTGTGTCCACTCAGAGGGGACACAGAGCCAATGAAACACCAGCTCCCAGCAGGGAGGAGAGAAGCAGATCAACAAAGCGATAATGAGAATATTTGGCAACAAGTCTCGTCTTTTATTATGGATTAAAAAATGATTAGTTGTTTTAGCCTTGTTCTGTTGAGAAAAATGTTGCTTTCCCATCACTTTGTCTCGGTGGCAATGGTCACCAGAACAAAGAGGTTTAGTCTTCCTAGCGGGAACACATGCAGTAGTAAAAACCTGAGATTCTAACCCTTCCCTACTCAATCCAAAACAAAAAAAGTTTGGGCTGTACATACTTTAAAACAAACCTTTTCTTTCCTCCCCTGGAAGTGACGTCACCTACTGTCTACTTTCAGGTATTGGGAAGCATGTGACCTTACCATAGCCAATATGTGGAAGGGCAAAGTGAGGGCCTCCTCAGCCCTGTATAAGCACTAAATAGACAGACATCGTGCTTGCTCACATTCAGCGGCTGAAAAGAGAGGGAAGACATGAAGGAAAAGTGAGCTTAGGCTGCTCAGTAGAGAGACTCAGTTAAGCAAACCTGTTGCTTGGCCCTACATTTGTAAAACACTGGTAAAGTTTCATACCTTTGTTAGCAGTAATGGAGACAGCTAATTTATGTTTCAGCACAAGGCCAAAAAGATTCCTATATCTCTTTGGTAATAAGTAGGAATGCATTGTTACCGATTTTTCAGTATCGGGTAAGAGTACCAATAGTAATCTTTTGGTACTTACCAATACCGGTACTTACTCTAGCATGGAACCCAAAATACTCTGTATTGCCACCAATACTAGTATCAGTGCATCCCTAGTAATAAGGGTTAAATGTCATCCCTGGACTGTTAAGCTCTGCCTACCAGATGGGCCTATTACAAGAATGTCTTATGGTCTGTGCTAGATTTTTCATTCATCTTTATTATGTACTGAACAGAGGTAGATCTTCAATACAGAAAACTGAACACGGGAATGATCCTCTTCCCCCAGCTACATAAAAGGAGGGCAGAGAGAGGCAGGAACTCAGAAATGGGTACCTTGACTTTGGAGTATGATAAAGATAAAGGATGCCAAGATCAGTCAACCCACTGGTGCCCATCAAAATAAAAGTAATAGTTCTAGGTATTTTTACTCTTTAGATTGCAAAGTATTAGATTGGTCACCCATCATTTGTAGCAGAGAGAAGCAAAGCTCTACAAACCTATAATGTGTCTGATTAAAAGCATGTTAGTGGTTTCCTCATATAGCACTGTATTTATTGAAGCATTTAAACACCTGTACATGGTCGAACACATTGCTAATTAAATCACGAATGCCTGCATGTTGATTCTCCAACTTATCCATCCATGTTGGCTGCACAATCTTTGCTACTTGTACAGATAAAACTCTGTCATTTCTACTGTATATGGCACACTTTTTTTTTCCCCTTCTAAGGGTTGCAACCAGAATGCTGTGTTATTGCCTGCTACACTTGTCAGCCTTTTTGTCACACCCTTTTGTCTCTCTACTGTCTCACCCTTTGCTGTTTGTTGCAAGTCTACAAATGCAGTCATGCAAAATGAAAGAGTGAGCATACTAGGCTTGTGAAATGTTACCTAACAGACAACAGTCTATAGGCTGTCCATGTTCGCTCACAGCGCTTGGGGTATAACTGTTTTAGGAGGTGTCTCCACACTTTAGAAAAAAGGGGATTGTTGGAATAATAGTCCAGTTTATATTCTTCTGTTTTTGGGGGTTCATTTTGTATCACCTTTACTAACAAATGAGGAATGTGCAGTCTTGGTAACCACATTCCTCTTTGCCTATGTGCTTGGGCACTGGAGGGAGCTACACATGTACAGTAATGAAAAGACTGAAAGCCCATTTTAGAGGTTATTTACGCTATGTCTCTTGAGCTGTGTTTTCTTTGTACACAACCCACATGTATGGTGTGAACAGGGCACGTAGAAAATGATAGGTCATGCTAAACATGTGTGGTGGTGTGCAGCTTAATAGACATGGTCTAAACAAGTCCTTATGTTACTTTGCTAGTGCTCTCTATGGCCTTGTACATATGGATGGGCATACGTTTATGTGTGTATAGTGTGTACAGCAAGCTTTGACAAAGCTTTTAAGGAAGTGTCTAAAAGCTTTCTTGAATCCTTTAAAGAGACCCTTTCCCCAGATTATACTTGAGCTTGTACTATAATTTGAACCCTGTATTCTATAATACATACTTGGGTTCCCAATTCTTTTTGTATCTGCCACTACCCTATGAGACTCTGGAATGGTCAGGGCAGCATGATAACAAAACTTTTGTTAAAGCCAATTCTCTGCAAGTGGTTCTCGCTGTTGCTATCCCTTGAAGTGATTCTGGAGATTTGCTGGAGCTGTGTTTTAAAGCAGAGCTTTTAACCTTTTTATATGCTCTTACACCACATATTAAAACAATGTATGCTTTAACTTTCGTAACCCCTTCCATATAATAAACCACCTCTGATTCAAGCGTAAAGCTTTAAGCTGCCCATACACAATTTGTTAATTGGGTGGCACTGTTGCCATCCTTCATCGAGCACTCGTCGATCAGGAAGCTGGTTGGAACATTTTTGAGAACGGTGACGGCAGCCAATGGTTCAGGTATCCTGACAGTGGCATGCCCATCGCTGTCGGAATATAAATGACACAGCCCGCAGGTCAACTGATAAAAATATAGCCAGCTTTATAAGGTAACATTTGGTGTTAAAGCAGTCTTCCCATACTCCGCTGGGGGTAAAAGCATGAGTAGTAGCCATTGGAATGTGTAGGCTCTCTTAAATAAGTTTAACAATATTTGACTAAAAAAATAAGCTGTATTTCTTACAAGGCTCGGTGTAAAACTCTAGGTCACTGAGATCAACCATAAGAATATGGACATCTAGCAATTACTTGCTTTGTATGTCGGCGCTATTAACATCTACATGGTGCATGAATTGATTTCTAATGAAGCTATACAACCTGTGTGTTTCTACATTTATCTGTTACCTCATAGGTCTTATTCTGGCTACACACCAGTAGAATTTAATTTGAAATTTCCATTGTCTGAACTATTTCCTAATAATTAACGGGGTGAAATAGATGACCAATGTCAACTGTAGTGACAACAAAATTGGAAGCAGCAGGATCGATGAACGAACAAAATTCTAACGGTTGATGAAGTTTGAGAAACGCCATTCCAAAATCAATTTGTTAAAATCAAACCAAATTCCACAATTCTCTGAGAGCGTTATTAAATGTTCTGACATGATTTTATAAGGATTTCCCATTTAGCCAAAGTGATTCTTCTTAAAAACATGAGGCGTGATGTATTCAGCAGCTTGTGCCCCTAGATATGCTCAAGCTCTTCATTTTGCATAGGTGCTTGTGTGCGCTCCTTGGATATTTATGTGTTTTGTAGTGGAGCTGCAACATATTTACTCAAATCCTTTAAAAGGTGTTGCTGTGGAAACCAAGGAAGCCTCTGAAACAATTGAGGAGTCTGTAGAAGCAGGTATAGTGGAAGCTGCAGCAGAAGAGGTCACGGAACAGGAAGCTATCCCCGCTACACCTTTGGAGCAGGAGCAACCTTTGACTGAAGAGGAATCTTCCGCATCACCGTTAGAGGAGGAGCCAGCAGCAAGCCCAGAGGCCTCTACCGAGCAAGGTTAAAGAGGGATTTTGTGCTGATTTTAATTTTTCCTCCCTGTATCATCTCTTTGTAGAAATGTTTTTGGCTAAGCTGAGGTATATACAATTGCTTATTTGAAAGGGAGTGCATACAAGAATAAGCTCAGTGGATCAAATACCATTATTGAAGCTGAACTCCAGGCAGATATAAAAGGCACAAATAATGCAACTCTATAATTATTAATCCATCATTTACATGTATTTTTTAAATGCAAGTCTGAGAAGTACCTGAATTCAATTTAGTATCAGCCTCTTGTCTACTGTACAGCAGAGCTCAGAGACGGGGAGGGAGAAGCACATGGATCTATTCAGGTTTGCTGTAGTGCAAAGAGCATGCTGGTAGCAGGATGAGCTCAACAGCGTCCTGCTTCTTTTTTCACTGTCCATTCACTTGGGGTAAGCAAAGTGAAACGTCGGCATAGAATGATCAGGTCCACTCACCTATCGGGCAGCAACTCCAAACTGGAGCATCAGAGCTGTGTAGATCTCAGGACTGGATGGACAGAAATACAATCCCTTTTGACAGGTAAAACAGCTCTCGTGTTTAATCTGTATATGTACTTGTTTGCCTGGGGTTCAGCTTTTTTTTAATTATTATTGTTGTCTGACAGGAACATCCATTTAACATCTGCTTTGTCTCTGAGATATTAGTAGATTATGAAAAACTAAAATCTTGCTTTTTTTTATTTTAGGATACAATAGAGCAGTGGTTCTCAACCTTTCTAGGGCCGGGACCCCTTGGAACATTTGCCAAGTTGTGGTGACCCCCAACGTAAAATTTAGAGATGACACGGCCGCTGCATGTTGAAGAGCAGGTTACAAGTCAGTCCTAATTAACCGTTTTAAGGTCCCCAGAATTAGCATTAAAATTAAGCTTAACACTGAGTAATATCTCTGAAGTGGTCAGCAGGGCCGCCTTTTAATATTTATTGGACCCTGAGCAAACATTTTTTTGGGCCGCCCCACCCTTACCCCCACGCCACGTCCCCTACTCGCCACACCTCGCCCTGTCACACTACCTACTTGCCCTGCACCCACCATGCTATTCCCCTCTCCATCACAGCATCCCAAAAAAGGGAGAGGTTGTGCGGCGTACAGCAGGGGTGAAGCAAAACTACACAATGTCAATCGCATAGTAAACAGAATGGTGCTGCCCTCTACCCTGTCCTATGCCATCCTTTACCTGTGTACTGTACCATCCTACCCCCTGAATTGTACCACCCTCCCTCCTATTCTATACCATCCTTCCACTTTGTACTGTGTCAACCTCACATCCAGCTCTGCCTTGTGTGCCTGAACTCCAAGGGCTGCAGCCCCATAATTAGAGTGCCGGCTCTGCCTCCTTAATAGGCACAGCAGCCAGCAGCAGAAATAGGTGGCCGGGATTAGAGGGGTCGGAGCGGCTCTCCAGGCAAGACATGCTGCTCATTTACAGCGGAGCCTGGTGACAGCGCACGGGAAAGTTAGGTGTGCAGAGTGGATGAAGCAGACAATGGAAGCCGAGACAACGAACACAGCCAGCATTGATGGGCCCCCTCCTGGCCGAATTATACAGACGGCCCATGGTAGTCAGTGAAGCAGTATCGGCGGGAAGGGAACCTCCTCACCTACTGTTCATGTGTCGTTCTCACTCGCATCCCTCTCTCTGTTCCTCCCCGCTGACTGCTGCAGCGACATCAGGCGGCTGGGGAGTGACCAACACTGCGGCGACCCACTCAAGAGGGGGCGGCGAACCACTTTTGGGTCGCAACCCACAGGTTGAGAACCGTTGCAATAGAGAATGGTTAAGTGTATCTAAACCTCAGAACAAAAAAATTTGTTTCTTTAGTATACATTAAGGCACACAGGGTGAAGCAATTCTGGTATATTAGGTTTATCTTTTTTTATCAAAATAATTTTTCTTCTAGCAAGAGTCTACTGTTGCTGCAGAGGCAGAATAGCTTATTGTGCAACTTTCTGGATTGGCTGATCCTTTGCCATAGCCATGGAGGCTCTACCCAGATGTGAGGCAGAAGTAGGGAGGCCTGTAATGTAGCCTAGGGGCACTGGGCTCCACTGAGGTGCTCTCCTAGACACTTTATGTGATGTGATTTGCTGCAGAGCCCTTCAACCCCTCTGGCAAATCATGTGACAATCAATTGCAACAAGAAGGCTAAGCCCCAGTCTAACAAACCTACCTCAGAGGCTAGGAAGAGTTCCTTTCTTTTCACTTAGGCCTCCAAGGCCAAGTCTGGTACTTGATTCTGCCACAAATTCTGAACACCCAAATCTTCAGATCTCACAAACAAGTCCTTGCAATGGGGGGATGCCCCCACTTTGTCGGAGTAGGGAGATGTCTGTCGGCCTTTGTGGTCACCTGATTCTAAGACATTTCGGTTGCTTGGGTTCCAAACGTGGTACCCAGGGGGTACAAGCTAGAATTTCAAACTCTGCCTCCATCCTGCTACATGTTGTCAAACCAGGTAAAGTCCCCACAAAGACTAGCAGATCTCCACACTACTTCTTTCTTAAGGGATCATAGCCACTACTCCAGAAGGCTCATTTGCCCCATTTTGGATCTAAAGGTTATCAACACCTTCCTTTGGGTACAAACATACCATATGTCAGTTATTGCTTCCCTTCATCCAGAAGACTTTTTGGCCTCTGAGGTAATCAAAGATACCTACTTGCATGTCCCAATTTTCTGGCACATTGTTTCCTTTGTTTTGCGATGGGCACCCTAAGTTGCTGCTTTTTCCTTTTGGTTTATCCACTGCACCAAGGTAATAGCCCCTGTACTTGCTCTCCTTCTGGGGCATTCCCCGAGTGGAATACCTGGATGATGGACTCAGACACTGTCAGTCAATGTCCAACAAACTGGTCAAACACTGCAGATAAATCTTCTTGATACTGCTATGTCCAAGGTCTTTCACAGAAAAAAAAAAACTACAAAACTCACGGTTAAGGAGCCAACCTACCTTCCTCTTGTGCATGAGGGTTCTTGACTTAATGATATTGTGCCCAATTTCACTCCAGACCACTCCAACCCAAGTTTCTGGCTACATGGGACAGGAAGGCTCAGTCTCTGGATCATAACATACACATGACTCCGAAGACCAGGCTTACCCTTGCCTGGCGGCTCATGAGTCTAGCCATGCAGTCTCCTACTGGTCTGGAAGGTTCTCACAACAAATTCTAGCTTGTGGGGCTGGGCAGGAGTCCTGGAAACTTTCCCGGTGCAATAAATGTACTTGCCAGAGGCAGCTCAGAGTGATTTGGTTATCCCTTCAACACTAGACTTCTTGACTTGGGTATAGTCAGACAGTGCTATGGAAGTGGTTTACAGTGGTTTACCACGTTTGTCTCCAGGTCCAGGGATCCTCTAGATATAGCAGTGGATGCTCTGGTGTCTCAGTGAGATCAGTTTAATCTGATATATGCCTTTCCTCTTCTATAATATCTTTCTCATCTGCTCTGCAGGATCAAGGTGTTCCAGTAATTTTCATGGAACTGGCCCAGGCAGATGGGGTACTCGGACCTTGTCAGACTCCTGGCAGACCTTCTGTAAACACCCCCAGATCATCAGGATCTTCTGTCCCAATGACTGGTTTTCAGTCCCAGGGACTGGTTGAGTAGCCTACTTCTCAGTAGCTGGCTTTAATAGCATGGGTGTTTAGGCCCAGTTTCTATAAGATAGGGACCTACCTGATTTATTTTTTTCCCTATGCTCCTAAAGGCTTGTAAATCATCCTCTCGTAAAGTCTAACATCAAATGTTAGAAGGCACTCATGATGCAAAGCAAGGAAGCTCCATCCCAGAAACTACTCTGTGGGAGGAATCCTGTCTTCTCTGGTATGGTCTAGATTTGGCCTTGAGTGTTTTTCCTTCAATGGCTGCTTACTTGCCTCCCACTCCTTAGTGAAGTCCTTTGTGCACATTGTTCTCCCATCTTTCTGTTTAATTCTGTCTCTCTCGGCTACAGTTGCCTTTAGACAGTCTTAACTCTTTTTGTCATTCCTGTGTGTCCCCGTGGGGGAAAGCCTGCTCCTTCTTCCAGTATCTACACATGGATTAAAAAACCTATAAACTTAAGGACAAGGTTCCACCGTGCCTGTCAAAACACACTCTACTGGATCAGTTAGTGCTTCATGCACTTTTTAGCATCAGGCATCTGTTTCTCTGATCTCTAAAACTGGCCATACACTTATATATAATCTGCAAATTTTCCATGGTCAGATGGAAAAAGTGCAACAGATTCCTCCATCTACGCTACAATGTTACAATCTTCCAGCAGCTCTGTGAGCTCTTTTGGGCTACCTCTGCCAACTTGTTAAATGTGGGCCTGCTAGCGTTGTTTTCTGTGTTGTCCACCCCTTAGTTGGACTGCTTTTTGGAGGTCCCTGTAAACCTCAATTACTCCATCCTGTGCGCCTTTAAAAAATAATAAAGAAAGCAAGATTTTTGACTAACTGTAAAATACTTTTCTTGAAATACATTAAAAAACAAAAGGTCCCCTCCCCTATGTTATGATCCGCTCCCACTATTGCTTTGCATGATTGAAGTAGGAGGGGTTATTCTAGGCTGTCTTACAGTTTGCCAGTCTTCAATCTCCTAAAGGCAGCAGCATGATAACCCAATGCACCAGAATCAGTTCAATTTGCGTTCCTTAATGAATTCCAAGAAAACGATTTCACTGTAAGTCAATTATTGCCGCTTACCAGTCCTCAGATGTGGTGGCTGCATAAATTGTTTAGTTTTTAGGACTTTTCTTTTTTTATATTTTCACATGGTGATCCTGCTAGTAACCCACTTGTTATCCTAGGCTGACAATGCTGACTCACTGTACTATATTTATGGGGAAGCAGCATTGTCACCCTTGGAGGACTGCAGTCCACAGAGATAGATGGGAGCAATGTAACTGATAATGGTGCAGCAGAGGCAGAGAGCACAGGAAGGTATCAGCTCACAAGATTTCTGGAAGGGTTAACAGATATTTTTCTTTACGTAATGGACCAAAAGGAGCAAATTAAAGAAGCTTATTATGAGGGTTTACATACACATTAAGCACCTGTGTTTTTTTCCTTTTTTGCTGTCTCTGTACCATCGGAAACTTTACCTTCCCTTTCTGCCTCCGACATAGTACAGGAAGAGGAGAGGAGAGCTCTGCAAGGTGAGGGGATATCTGCTCCTAAACAAAATAGGTGTCACTTTTGAAAGATTTCTCCATCTCCTATTCTGGTGACAACACCCTCTGACAATGCTCACCAGGACCAATAGTGACAGTGAAACTCACAAACAGCATTTAAAAGCTGACAGGGGTTTTAATCCTTCCACATTCTATAAAAAACAGCAAAAGGGTTTGCGCTTTACCTATACTGTATTAAAGGACCTTAGTAAAGATTACTTTGAGTCAATTCTATTTTAATAACACAACAGCCAGTAATTGCAGAGAGCCTTGTCCCATGACCCAAAGGGTTTATGCAGTGTCCTCCAAGACATCCTAATGTAGTGTTTTTGCCTACTAGGGTGAACTCCGTTTATAAACTGCACATCATACTGTATAATTAGAACATTGCCATTTCAGGAGTAAGTGCCATATAAACAATTGACATTGTAAGACAGAGGAATAAAATCACCAACTCTAATAGAATTTCTTGCTCCCAGTGGGAGATATTATCGTTTTGAAAAGGGTATAGCAGAAATAAAGTGCATAATATTTGCTATTTAGAATGGGGGAGTGTACTCAGCTGATGAGAGCTGACACTGTAGTAATTGTTGCTGGAGGATATTGTTTTTATAATGTAAACCCTAAAGTATACTTCCCCTTTTGCAGCAAAATTGGTGCAACGCTTACTTTTATATTTGTTACATGTTCCCCTTTACATAGCAGAATTCAAATATTAGGTTATATAAAAAAAAAATATCGATCCCTAACGTGTGTGGCACACTCGCTGTTTACATACAATCCTATGCAATCCTATCCTATGTAAAAGCATTGGCAGGTGACAGGTTCTCTTTATGGAGAGTTCACGGCTGCAGCAGGTGTAACCACTTCAAGATCAGGATGTACAGGTATATTGCACATTATTCTGAAGCTTTTATTATGTTTGCTGTGTGAATGGGAACACTTAAATGTATACTGGAGGGTTCTCAAACTTGGCTGCAAAAGTGGAAAGAAACTTTAATAGATGCATTATTGTAAAGTAACTTATTTCACGTTTTCCTGGCTGTATGATAGCTTTCGTAGGGCCAGTTAGCTGCATTGTTGAGTTCAGTGCCTGCTACACAATGTGTAAAACAGTATGATGAGGAGGCATTACTAGAGGAATGTTTCATGCACTTATAGTCATATAAATATTTCATTAGTAAATTGTTTATTTTTAAGCTTTAAAGTGGACTTAAAGTCTAAAGATGGTCATTCACTGATATGCTGAACTGAAGAAGTCTATCAGAGCCTTCCCCAATCCCCCGTGATTTTCATCCTTGGAGTCTGTAGGCACACAATTTGTTGCTCTTACACTCTTCTGTTAGAATCTCCTCTTTGATACAACATTTACATGTTTCCCTGGTAACCGTGCTTAAAATACTATCACTATACTGTGTAAATATCCTTATATGAGATTACTATTCATCCTCATAACAGAAAACAATTGCGACTCATAACTGTTAATGCAAAAGCTGCTTGTTTACCTTTTTGCCATCTATAGGCACATGTCTACTACCTATTGGTAAGTCCGGCTCTGAGTACACATATTGAAGCCTTTGACTCAACATAACAGCCAGTCAACTAGCAATTCCAAAAGGAGTGTTCAGTAATGGCAGCATTTGCTCAGTACAGGTTCCTTATGTAATATCTGGATAGACTATAGGCTGTGTAAACTGTGCAGTGTGACTCCAGCTACTTAATGTTTGCACTGCGTTTCATTCATTTCAGTGGGATCTGCATTTAGTACACTTTTAAGGGTTTAGGAACCCAGGCCGCACCATAGGTAGGTTCTGACCTATTTTTCGCATGGTGTGTAACTCACTGCATGACTACACAACCACAGAAGATAATTAGATGCCGTGTCAACTTATACTAAATGTAACAGCGTAAAAAAAGACTGGCCATTGTAACTGCTCTTGTCACACAAGGTATGTTACTCAACTGCTCTAAATGCATATTTCTGTAGTCTTACAAGGGGCTGTGTGTTGCCCCATGACATGGTATGTCTGATTACTAAACTGTATTCTATTTGTTTCAAAGGAGATAGCGTAATATGTATATATGGGTCCAGAAGTGTCTATGCTGCACTAGCAATTGGCTCCTCGTGAATGTGTACACATAATCTCCTCATTAAAAAAGATGGGGTGCGGATCAGAAATTGGACAGATCGGTTAGTCGCTATAATTTTTTGTACTGATGCACTAATATCCAGTCAAGAGCTGTCTGCGTCTGAGAACATCCCGACATCTGAGTTGAGGCTATAGTCTAAAAAAATATCTTTTGACCTGTATGCTTTACACAAGTAAACATTCCTCACGGATTACTCTAGTCTGTGTTAAATTACATTAGCTTCATTTGGTTTCACTGTGTCAGCTTCAATATGTCATCATGCATTAAGAAAGGCTCCGTCATTGGCTGCTTGACAGGTTCTGACCTATTATCTGTGGTCATTGGTCTGTGCTCTGCGCTAATCAGTGTGTTTTTCACATATTTCTTTGCACTGTTACACATTTTGAACTAGTTTACATTGACATATACAGACATGTGAAATATTAAGTACACTCCTACCTACTGGTAAAGGTGATATACTTGAGTAAAACCATTTCCTTTTCAATGATGTTTTCAACAAAATATCAATAGTTGTAATTGTGTACTGTGTAAAAAGAAGTACTCCTAATGTATCAGAAGCTGGTATTGTTCCGAAATTACTTCTCATAGGCATTTTGTATAACTGCCCACCAGTGTCTGACATCAACATCAAACATTTTGACCACATCTCCATGCAACTTTAATGCAATATTTGAGGGTTGCATTGCATTAACTGCCTGTTTCAAAGTCCCCCTACAATTTTTATGGAAATCATATCAGGGTTTGAGTAGGGCAGTCCATAGCCCGTTATACAGTATTTGCTTCTTGAGACATTCTTTGGTGGATTTCCTAGTGTGCTTCGGATCATTTACCACTTGCTGAATTTTTGACTAGAAAGCTTAAAATCCCCAAACAATTATATGTTTTCTGACAGCAGAAATGCTAGTTGCAATTTTCATGTCTCACGGTATTTGCGCAAATGTTTTTCAAACCAGTAATTTTGGGGTAAAATACACTATTAACGTGTTAAAAGAGCTTTTTCCCGTTAAGTTTCAGCTTTTTGGACAGATGGCATCACATCTTCATCAAGCAAACTTTGATATTATACAGAATGTACAGTATATTCATGATCCGCCGGCTGACTTCCTTATAATCGGGACACATGGCAATGATACTCGGTATCGGCGAGTACCAAAAAAAAAAAATCGGGACTCGTACTCAATACCGAAAAAACGGTATCGCTGCATCCCTAGTTTAGACCCCATTTTTTTGCGTTTTGCTTGCCATCTTAATATCATTAGGGAGATTTCCTTTCCTCTCCCCATTGTAAGACTTTTCATGTTCTGGTGGATACTAAAAATTTGGATTTACCCTCACTTTCATTCCCAATGACATTAATGATCAGGATAATCAGAGAGAGTGAATATCCCTAATGGAGACATACACTGAGTGGCCAGATTATTATGACCACCTGACGTTTGTAGGCAAATTAGCTATAATTTTGCGCTGAAGTTGCTAGAGGGCCAGTCCATTATAAATAGGGAAGCAGATTGTTTACCACGACAGTAGAAGTGATTTTTTTCTTAAGATATGGTTAAACAACACGATTTAACAGCCTTTGAACGTGGGATGATTGTTGGCGCTCGGAGCCAAGGAGCGAGTATCAGCAAAACAGCAGAATTCATTAAATGTTCAAGAGCAGCTGTTGTTAAAGTGTTTAAAGACTGGACTGTCAGCCGAAAATCTGGGTCTGAACGTGCGAATTGTGGCCGTCAGCAACTAGTCAATGTTAGGGCAGAACGGAGAGTAGCAAGACTGGTACAAGACAACAGAAGGACAACAGTGCATCAAATTACTGCAGATCTTAATCAGGGATCCTCTCAAATGATCTCTGAACGCACTGTTCGCCGTACACTGCATCGTATGGGATATGGAAGCCGAAGGCCTGTTCGAACACCTTTGCTGTCTGCAGTTAACAAGATAAAACGTCTCCAATTCGCACAGGAACACAAGGATTGGACAGTTGAGCATTGGAAAAAAGTAATGTGGTCCGATGAATCACGTTTCCAATTGCATCATGCAGATGGCAGAGTGAGAATTTGGCGGAAACAGCATGAAAGCATGTGCCCCACATGCATGAGTACAACCCTTCAAGCTGGTGGGGGCAGTGTTATGGTTTGGGGCATGTTTTCCTGGCATGATTTGGGCCCTTTAATTCATGTGGAACAACGTCTGAATAGCACAACATACCAAAGTATCATTGCCGATCATGTTCATCCTATCATGTTGATGGCGTATCCCAATGGAGATGACTTCTTTCAACAAGACAATGCGCCATGCCACGGTGCTCGTATTGTGCAGGAGTGGTTTCAAGAACATGAGGGAGACTTTACCTTGCTTAGGTGTCCCCCACAATCACCAGATCTCAATCCAATTGAGCATTTGTGGGACGAAGTTGAAAGAGTCATCAGGCAGCTAGTTCAACAACCATCAAATCTCACAGAACTGGACAGTGCTATTCATCAGGCATGGTGTCAGATTCCTCGCATCACCTTTCAACATCTCGTGGAGTCAATGCCAAGAAGAATCGCCGCAGTATTGAAGGCAAAAGGTGGCCCAACGAAGTACTGATGGGGTTGTCATAATAATGTGGCCACTCAGTGTAGACCGAATCAAAATCCTGAAACCCCTCACCGTTCGATCCAATGATTATAGTTATTTGAATAAACTGTATTAGGATTTAACCGCTTAACTCTAAGTTAACCCTTTTCATCCCCAATTAATTCCTTCTTTCCCTTCTCTCTTTAGCTATAGTTTTTTTTTTTCCCCTTTTTTTTCTTTCTCTTGTTTTGCACCATTTTATTTTTAACCTTTTTTCATTTTCATTTGTTTTCTTCATTTTTTTCAGTGTATTATAAAGATAAATCCATACAATAAAAAAAACAAATTGCAAATATTTTGCCATGCTCTGTACCAGTGTCATTTTAAATGGAACAAATTATAGAATAGAAGTTATACATTTTATTCATCGCAATATGACTTTTAAAAAACTAACACTGGTCAAACGAAAGAAATAAACAAAGGGTTTTTAAATGTATTTATGTCTTTGTTTATAGATTACATAACAAATAAAATAATCTCTTGTTCATGCATTCTGGCACACGGGACATGTTTTTAGGAACACTGGGTTATGCTGCCACCTTCTCTTGCCAGGAGGTTGGACACTGACAAAACAAAGCTATAAGGCCAGCCCAGTATAATCCCTCCCACTCCCAGTATGCCTCAGTTCTTTGCTACTGCCCTTAGGAGAACTGAAACCTTATCCTTTTTTACATTCTTTTCTTTCATCAAGATTTTTTGCTGCTAGCAGAATTGTTAAGTTCCTCCAGAAGCACTAGGGCTCACTTTTGCAACTTCCGGATTGCATACTGCTCAGCTTTGCCATAGGGTGCTGTACCTGGACCCTGCCAGGAAGAAGTGGTTCTGGCCTGTAATGTTTACATCTGCTTGAGTTTATCTGCTTCGAGTCTTTCTTCTGAGTAACAACTCCATCTGAGTGACAGCCTCCTCTCTCTTGTCCAGGGAAAAAATTTCTGCTGCTATGTCCGATTTTTAGGTAAAAATGTCTTCCATAGTTGGCAGATGGGTGCATGTCGTTTGAGTTTCAGCTACAGCTCCCTTTCAACAGTCTGATTCTGTTTGTCATTCCTGATTATCCCAATAGGGGACAGCCTGCTTCCAGTTGTGCTATTACTAGCTGGTTGGACAGCTCATGATTCAAGCTTATGACCTCAAGGGCAAGGTTCTCCCTTCCCGGTCAAAAGTGCTTCATGGGCTTTTCAGCATCAGGCATCTGTTTATCAGATCTGTAAGCTGCAACTTGGTCTTCTGTGTACATGTTTGTTATGTTTTACAAGGTAGATGTTCAGCCCTGATGCCAACTTCAGAAAATAGGATTTTTGTCTTGCCTATAAAATCCCTTTCTTGGCGTACATTACAAGGCACAGGTCCCTTATCTCTGTTCTTGTGTTCCACTCCTACTATCCCTTGCTAATGAAACTGAGGCATGCAGGGAGTGCTAGGGGTTGCTTTGTTTTACTTAGTTACAAATATACATTTAAAGTGACATTAAACTAATCCCCCCCCCTTCATTCCTGCTTTAAGGACTTGCCTTAAGTGAGGCCTCTAATCCGATCATCTTCTTCCATCCAGTAGTTTTTAGCAGTCCCTCTAGCACTGGTGTCGGTGTCTGATTCAGCCGACTACGGTGTCTTCTGTGTCCTACGGTGTCTGTCCAACGTGCATGCTCCCGGCGATGTGTGCATTCACTTTCAGTGTAGCTCTCCTCCTCTCCCCGCCGGTGACCTCCACTGCACCCGCCCACTTGCTCCTGCATGGCCATTCGGTGTAGCTGGACTTTACAGCCGGGAGCAAGCGGCGGAGTTCGAGGTAAGTGTTTGCCTATTGGGTAACTTCTTTTTCTTTTTTTAAATGTTTTTGCATATATCTACTGCTTGCTAGCAGTAGATATATGTAAAAAAGCAAGACTTTAATTCTACTTTTAAGCATTACTTAGATTGTGAATTAACTGAACTGGCTGGTGTAGGCACCTGTTAGTCCTGAAACCTAAATGCTCTTATGTTGAACTGGAAGAGCCTGATGTGTTCAGACTTCTTATACTAATTCTATTATCATACATTAAAAAAAAATCTCTAGTTTTGGTTAAAAATAACAAGGGGACCATTGTAATATTTGGGTTCTTTGACTTTTATCCAGTCCCTACTAGAAATAACCGTTTTTGAGTTGAGTTTTTGTGTGTTTTTTTTAATTTTATTTTATATTTGAGAATTGTTATGCAATTGAAGATCATCTATATCTGAAATTTATAAGATTTGAAAGGTTTGTTGCATGAAATTAATATCTTTCTATTTATCTAGTAGAACAAGAAAATACTGAACCTGTAGTAGAGGCTGTAGCTGCAGAGACCTCTCCTGTGCTTGAAGCAAGTTCAGACAACATCCCAGTGGAGCTGGCCTCAGCAGCAGAAGATTGGTCAGAGTTCTCAGCTCGTAAACCAGAAGAATCAGTGGAGGAGAATTTATCTGTAGCAGAAGGTGTGTGCTAAAATGAAGTCAGTAGTAAAAACACCTTAGTTTTCTATGGTAAAGACTCATGTTGTTGGATGTTGTTTTCCTGTGTCTGAAACACATTAAATGCAGGTCAGCAAAGTCCCATTGGCTCTAATTAAGCAGTAAACACGCCAGTTCAGAGGCTGTGTTTGACCTGTTTTGCATTGCACTGTGTTTCTTTGGCTGCAGCTTGTCCTATTGAGGTGTGTATAAAATGCAGGGAAAGCAGGTCAAACTCAGCCTCTTCTTGTCAAAGAATGCATTTGAAAACATTGACGTGAGCCCTAAAGTGGCCTCAGTCATGTACCAATGGATCGCTACCTCCAGGTACATAAACCTTGTCAGTGTTAATTCATTGGTGTACAAATTAATCAGCCTCAACAGTAGGCGAGAGTGAGATACGTAATACAATTTACTTCCATTACAATGAAGTGTAGTACTTTACATTGTTTATATTACTGTAACATTGAAGCATGGTGGAGGTCCCATCCAGGTTTGGGGCTGCATTTCTGCATATGGAATCTGGTCAGAATTAATAGTCTCCTCAATGCTGAAACATATACCTATACATCATGGAATACCATCATGGAGGTGTCTGATCGGTCCTTCATTCTGCAGCAGGACAATGACCCCCAGCATACATTAAAGGAGAACTATGAGGTGAGTGCTTTTCACTCACCTCATAGTTCTAGCCGACCTGTGACAATGAGACTGTCACAGGTCGGCTCTGTAGATCGGGAGGTGAGCGAACACATACCGGGTTCGCTCACCTCTCGATCCTGTCACGGCTCTCTGCCGTGACAGGGGAGGGGCTGGATTCCCCCCTCCCCGCTCCGCCGGCGCTGACTGGCGGAACGGACAGGGGAGCGGGCGGGTACAGCTGGCTCTGCCTCTAGATAGGCAGAGCCAGCAGTCAGTCACGCAGCTGGGCTGATCCCGGCACAATTGTCGGGATCCGCTTCAGCTGCGGCGTCTCAGTATACCGTGAGCAGCAGCTCGCGGTATACTGCGGCGTCTCAGTATACCGCGAGCTATAGCTTGCGGTATACTGAGCCTAGGGTGACGCTAGTTTGTGTCCTCCCGTTACCCTAAGGAGAACTATGGGGAAAAGCCTTAACCCCATAGTTCTCCTTTAAAACTCATTAGGTACTACCTGCAGTGAAAAGAAGGAATCTTGGAAAAGATAGTATGGCCTCCACAGAGCCCTGATCTCAACATCATAAGGTCTGTGTGGGATTATATGAAAGACAGAAGCCACCAAGACAGCCTAAGAAAAACTGTGGTTAGTTTTCATAGATGCTTGGAACCTGCCGAGTTCCCATAAGCAAAACTGTGCAAGTGTACCTAGGTGAATTCATGCAGTTTTAAAGTCAAAATGTGGCTAAACTAATCTGTTTTATGCACTTTGTATTTTATTTGATAAATAAAAAAGTATTCATATTCCTCACTTTACAGCATTTTTTTCCTCATGGCCCTCACACTTTTTCACACTGTCCATTGAGAGGTTTTTGTGGTCCAACGTCACAATAAACATGAGAATGTTTCTTTTATTGTAGAGAGTGAAGAGGCTGTAGAATCTGGAGCTGCTGCTGCAAGTTCCTAAAGGTAATATTTACTTACTGTGATATGCATTTTGTTTACTGTTCTGTCTTAGAAGCATGTGTACTGTTAGTTGTGAATGGGAGCTCATCACAGACTTCCAGAGTTGCAATTCTGCTTGACTTCACATTGGTGGCTGCCAAATGTTTTAGGGGAGAGGGGTAAATCTGCAAGGACCTTTCATTTGTATTTAATGTTATCTTTGCTGGGCTGCTTTCAGCCTGTCACAATCCTAGTGTATTCAAGCTAAGTATATGATGAACAAATGCATAAGAAAAAGTTACCTAGGTCATATGGAAAACCTCAATCTGGTGGTGGTAGTGGTGGGGATTCCTTACCTGCCTCCTGTGAGGCATTTCATGTTCTTAAACGCTACAGGTGCTCTTTATACTGCATGTTTAAAGTGCTTTGGGTAACAGTATATATTTGTTGCATAAGACAGTTAGCCCATGGGAGAAAGGGAGGCTAATTTGAGTACTCTGGAGCTTTTATTTTCTAGCCTGTGCTTCGAAATACCACTTAAATGGAACCGGTCTCCATGCCAGCTGGAACATATTTTCTTCATCCAGCTCCACTGAGAATTGTGTTTAGTCAGAAAATGTATTTTGATATTGTGGAATGTTCCCTTAGTAAAATCATACAGTCGAGGGAAATTGCTCTTTTCCTTTTTACAAAAGAACTCTGATCTCTTAAGACATTAAAACTGATTTATTCAGGAGTTGGGAATGTTTACTAAAAAAACAAACAAAAAAAAGGAAAGATTAACTTCAGTTATCTAATCATGTTAAAAAGAAAGTCCTTTTTTGTTTCATCTGCAGATGATTGGGTATCTTAAAGTGACATTAAGTCATTAACCACTTGCTGACCGGGGTGTTTCACCCCCTTCCTGTCCAGGCCATTTTTCAGTGTTCAGCGCTGCGGTACTTTGACTGACATTTATTCCGTCATGCAACGCTTTACTGAAATGAATTTTATACCATTTTTTGGGGATAGAAAGAGCTTTCTTTTGGTGGTATTTAATCACCACTATGTTTTTTTTTTTTACTATATAATGAAAAAAGTACCGAAAATTTTGAAAAAAAAAACTTCTCCCTACGTTATGTTTATAAAACATTTATTATTACCCAAATTTTTGGTAAATTATAAAAGACGGGGTCACGTCAGGTAAATAGACACCAAACATGTCAAGCTTTAAAATTGCGCGCACCCGTTAAATCGCAAAAAACTACCATATTCAAAATTGACCATAGCTGAAGCTTTAAAAGCTTTTACCGCTCATCAGTTTAGTGTTATCAGTGAATGATGGCCCTAGAGTTATTGCTCTCATTCCGACGTTCGTGGCGATATGTAACATGTGCGGCGCAATGGATGTAATCGGCGTTTTCGCACATAGGCGGGCTTGACGCATGTTTGCGTGTGCATGTGGGGCTGGGGGACTTTAATTTTTTTTTTATTGCTTTGATATGTGATTTTTTAATTTTAATTTTTTTTTATAACTTATATTTTTTTAAACCTTTTTTTTTCCCCACTGAACTTTATTCCTATCACATAGGGAGCAAACAAGCTCCCTATGTGATAGCCAATTTGCAGTGACAGGTCCTCTTTATGGAGACATGAGGGGTCTTTAAGACCCCTAATGTCACCTTGGGACCCCCAGAGAAGCTGATGAAGCAGAGACCTGCTTCACCAGCTTCTCTCCGGTTTCTGTAACGGAGAGTGACAGAGGCATGCAGGAAGTGATGTAATACACATCACTGCCTGCATTCAGAAGAGGAGATCAAACGGAGCTTGTGTACTGAGCTCCGTTTGATCTCCGGCCGCAGAGCTGCTGTGCTGGTCCCGGGCTCACACTGGCGGCGGAGGGGGGCGCACACCCGACCGCATATTACAATCGATCGGGCGTCTCTAAAGACGCCCGAACGCTTGTATGTAAACAGCCATCGCTGGCTGTTTACATTCAAAGCCGGTTTCCCGCTCGTGCCTCCCCCCAATGGTGATGTCAGCACTTACCTTAAATGATGTCTCTTAATCCGATCTTCCTCTTCTTTCCTGATGTTTTCATCTGTCCCTCCAGCGGTGCGGCGGCTCTCCGATCCAGCGCTGACTCCTCTCTGCTTGCAGGCACTTCCGATCCAGCGGCGTCTGCATGCGACTGCACGCGTCCATAGACTTACCTTGCGTCCCTGCTCGTCTCCCGGATGAAAATCCGAACTGCGCATGCGCCCGCCCCAAGATGCTTTGCGGCCGCCCGAACAGTTTCGGATTCTCTGCGCGGGAGCGCGCAGCGAAAACAATGTAAGTTTAAACCGCTGTTAAAGCGGGGTTTAAAAAAAAAAAAAACTGTTTGCCTATATCTACTGCTTAATAGCAGTAGATATAGGCAAAAAAAACGGAGGGTTTAGAACACCTTTAAGTGAATCTTCACTCTTGTTGTGAATGAACATTCCCATCTCCTTGTGTAAATCAGGCTCATTATGTGCTCGGCCTTTACTACCCAGCATTAGGAAGTGAGTTTGGAAATTTGCCTGTTGAATCACAGGATGCAAATGGTTAAAGGAGAACTATGGGGTCAGTGTTTTTCCCCATAGTTCTCCTTAGGGTAACGGGAGGACACAAACTAAAATAACTTTATTCAATCTCGAACAAGTGGAACTTTTAGCATTCAGTTTTCTAGTTTTTAAAATAGTAGTGCAAAGGAAAGCCTCCAAACATCCAACACCATGTAGTGTGTTGTTCCTCCCAAAATGTTAGAACCTTGCATTGCATTGCAGGATACCTTAGCGTCCTCTTTTCCAAAAGTCAGTTTTGGCATACTGCAGGGTGCCCTGAGTTAACCCCTTCGTGACGGGAGACGTACAGTGTACGTCCCGTCACAAAGTGGCTATATGACTGGCCACCTACACTGTACGTGCCGAGTTATATTAGCCTCTGTAATG